GTGGAGAGCCAAGGGTGAAGGTGTATAGTACACCTGAATTGATGGCAAAGTTGGATGGTCCACACTTCAGGATAATCCTGAACCAAAATGACCATCGGTTTACAGCTTCATTCAAAAGGACTTTACCACAGTCCATTCATTGGAAGGGTGACTATGCAAAGCATAGTTGCAGCAAGACCTTTGATCAGTGCAATGAACAGGATTGGATAGACAAATTGAAATTTGTCCACTCCTGGGCTTGGAGCAGATTCACTCTAGGTACAGATGTTCCTGATTTGGCAGTTACAGGATATCCAAATGTGCAGGAGCCAGGGGTGATAGCTGAAGAGGTGATTGATGGCCTAAGGCCACTCATCAAGGCTATCCCTGCCCCAAAGGCATATCACAAGAAGTGAGCAGAACAAAGGCAGCAATGAGTGTGCTGAGATTGTGGATGATGTGTGTTTTGTCCTCATATTTCTCAATAATCTGCACTTATGTTTTCCAATGATCTTCAATTTTTCCTAATGATCCCCAATTAGAAACAATTATAATCAATTAATGTTGGTTTTATTTGTTATATATATATTAATATTATATAGGGGAAATCAGTCTAATAGTAGCCTTCCAGTTGAGGGCCATAAGCTCAAGAATGAAATCAAGAAGGCTGGCTTCAGTACTGGACCATCATCCTGTTCTTGGAGTGCTTGGAGGATGAGGGCAAAGGATGGCCCAGGAATTGAGACTGGCGAAGGATTGCTGATTTGATTTGACCCAGAGCTTTTTAACAAGTGTTAAAGTGTTTGCCGAAGGTGCTTGTCAGGGGGGTTGACCAAGCAACACAAAAGCTACAAAAGACCAGCTGTTGTTTCTCCCTGAATCTCACAGTAGTATTTAATGTGATGTATTGTGTCTGGTAGAACTGCATAGCATATATGTGTGTGCTAAATATGGGTCAGGGGAAGCCTCTTTGCCTGCATACATGGTCTATCTTCTTCCATATGGTGTCCTCTGGTGCTCCAGCCAGAAACAGACTCTCCACTGACAAGGGGCGTCGTGACATGTCGTGACGAAGAACCCGCCGGACCTCATCGTGCCCCATCGGGACGCTACGAACGAAGCAAAGGGCATCGCTACCCCAAGTGCGCGCGCGCGTAGGGGCAGGGTAGAGGACGCAAAAAAGGAGCAACCTGGCAAAGTGGAACACTTGTTCAGTGCACAGGGTGGGAAGACGAGCGACCTCTCCGAACAAAACGATCCATGTGGTCCACTCATGTGCACCCCTGCCTGCAGGAGACTGTTTGGTCCATCTTTCTGGCACACACTCGCCGCCCACCGAACACCTGACGGGGTGTGTACGGACCCCGTTCATCACGACGGCGCCAAAACGTCGCATGCAGACCCTGGCCTGCAAAACATGAATCAAGAAACAAGAAGCAGTTCATTATCAAATCAGGCTTCAGGCATCTTTGTTCACCATCTTCCAAGATTCTCTTCGGACACTACCATGCCATGAGCTATGTGGTCGACAAAGACGGCAAAACCCCGCTAGGCGCTGCTGGTTGAGCCAGAAAAGAAAAGGGAAGCAAAGCTTTACGTGAATCACCATCGCCCATCCTCACGTGCCCAGCACGATGTTGTTTCAACACAACCAGACTGGGCTCCTAGACTGATCAGAGCGACAAAGGCATTGGCCGTGAACGCACTGGGCATTGCGCCAGTCCTGGGAGCGCAAAGACGAATGGGCAGTGAGACACCTCAATACACATCAGAAAACCTCAAAGCACCCCATGGATATAGAACAACCGCTCCTTACAGTTCTATTTATGTCTCTCTCTCTCTCTCTCTCTGGATATGTTGTCTTCATATTCAAGGCCGTTTCTGCGCTCGAATATGCTTGGATGTAATAATAGTGTTATGCATGTTTTGCCAAATATCGAGTCATTCTGGGCCATCGTGAATCTATGTGAATCTAAGGGTGATGACATGCTCGTTTTGTTTACCTCTTAAAGACATGCAGCAAGAGCATTATACATTTAAAACATTCTTCACACGCGGCACATCACGTGTCAGCTGGAGTGGCATGGGATATGCTGGACGACTTCACCACCAAAGAACACTGGAGTCTGCACAGACCACAGATTCGAGCAAGGCGTGTGATGAGTGGGAATGTTCATCCATCATTTACCCGCGCGTCCAACCGTCAAAGCCACCATTCCGCACCTCTCTAAGACCTTTCGGTCCGCATCGGTCTGAGGTCTGTGTCGGAAAAGCCTCGGTCTGGTCTGACCTTCGATGCCAAGCGTCTTCACAGCCGAAAAGGTAGCAGCTCCCTCCCGTGTCGTGTGTGCAGCTGTCCAAGCCTGGGAACAGCGTGTGTGCTGCTTTTTCAGAGGAGCTTTCTGATAGGGTGGTCAACAGAAAGGTGCAAATGCCCTTACAAATCCGAAAAACAAAAAAGAAAGGAGGGTGCGGTTCTTTGCTTGATTGGTCGGTTTTGATTGATTCATCCCGGAGCATCTGAGGTCTTTTTTCCGCATTGGAGTTGTGGTATCTCCAGCATCAATGTGTTGTCGTCCGTACTCAAGGACTACTCTAGGCCTTCCTCAGAACCTAGGACCTAGACTTTGAGATAAACACAGGGTTGGAGTTTCAGCTCCCAGCGTGCAAAGGGCCCATATACAATATACAACGACAAACTTCCGACGCTCATATCCATTTGAGCTGGCATTCTGCCGTTTAAATTGCATGGGAGCTGACGCTAATTCCAAAGTCCATCCAAGTCCGGAACCACTCCATTTGACTACTCTCAAGTGGGGAGAAACCCAAAATGCAAAACCAAATCTATCCAAGTCTAGGCTTGCTTGGTCCACCTTGCCCACTTCAGCCAGCTGGTGATGTCTGTCTCTGCCTCTCTTCCAGCGCCCGGACCGACACACTGGACGCCCGCCTGCGGACGGCCGTAGGCTGTCAAGCTTCAGCGGCTCCGCCTGAGACCACGAAGCTGGGGACCCTGGTGAGGTAGACTGGCTGGAATGACGAAGCTTTGGCCAAACATCTGGGCTTTGATTGAACAGTGGACATCACTCTAATCATCTAATCATCTAAATATGTAATACAATATAGTTGAATTATCATGTATAACTACATAGTTTGGTACTTCTATTATAATTTCATGGTAATGACATGCGACAACAGGTGCATCATGCAAAAGACTAGTGTCGACAGAGTCAGATGTACGTACTTTGGATTGACGTATAATGACGGATACAAATCCACTACAAGGTCGTGCTAAAACACCAAGACCACTGTGGATCTTTTTCCACCTTCCTGTCTGCACAAGGATATAGGACATGGATACGTTTATCACAGCAAATCACTGGCGCCTGTACAAGCGAAACGCTGCGCACTCAGGGCGACTGCATTCACCCGGAATGCTATGAAACGAGTCCTGAAGCTTCCAAGGCTTAAAATATCCATCAAGCATATTGTGCCTTCTTATATAGTTGGCCAATCACTAAGTGTCCAAATTGACACATGTGAACTGCTTGGAAGTGGTGGGTGACTCCCAGGCAGGGTAAAATGTGCTTTTCAATGATTCGACATACGCTCCCTGAAATAATCATGGAAGTGGCGAAAACCAGCTGCTTGCAAAGAAAATGGTCTTCCAAGATGCCATGTTCCACTTCCACAATTATTTCAGATAGTGTGAGTTCGGGAACAAAGTTCAAATGTTGCTGAGGAGACCTTGTGAATGCATCGATTCCAAAACAAATTATAGTAAAGTAACAATATTGAGGTATTCGGAACCAAGCTGTCTCTCCCGCTGCTTGGGCACAAACACAAACACCATATATGGATGATTGCCGGGTACTTGGCTGAAGGCTATAACCCCAGATTACTAAATAAATTCATGCGGGGGAACAAATAACAACATGAATTCAACAAAAAGAGCGAAGTGATTCAACATCACCACATAGCCTTGCTGATCTTGGCAAAACACACATCCAAACTGCCTTTGTGAAAGCTCCACGACCAGGACCCAGTTCAGCTCCCAGCTCCACGTAAGGAGTCCCCTGTCGCTAGGCCCTGCCAGGCTAAAACCTCTGGTGCCAAGGGCCTTGGTCAAGGCGATTGGTCAAGTGTTGGTGAGCTGTTAGCTGGTGTGTTTTTTCTTGTGGTTTTCTTGCTTGGTTAGTTGCTTAGTTGGTTGCTTGGTGTCCTTGCTTGGTGAGGTTGGTGGGTTCGCTTTCTTGGTTGGTTGGTTGACCCTGACATAGGTCCCGTATCTGAATGAAGGTATTTCTTGGAACTGACATTATGGAAATGGAGACCAAGGGCTCCAAAGGATGTTATAAACATTGTCCAGAAACAAAAAGGTAACTCTGATTACAGTATCCTCCGTGTTTTCACACACACAAAAGCTATACAGCTATACGATTGGAGCGTATAACCTCTGGACAAGAAAACACAACAGCTGCTGCTTAAGCAATGGGAGATTCCAAGTGAAAGTAGCAGCCTACTTGCTTAACCACACACACACAAAAAAAAAAACATGCTTAGCCGCTACAGTCAGGTGTGTTTGATGTTTCGGTCATGACAGGCCTCCTAAACAAGCACACCTCTTTTTCCAGCCCTGTCTCAGCGCGTCCCTTCGGTGTCTGGCCGTGGGGCTGTACGAGCTCAGAGTCCGCATAGTCCTTGGGGTAGACCACCGTTCCGAACCTGTGGACGAGCGTCCAAGGCGGGGCCGGTGTTGAGCTCCATGAAAGGGGTGAAAGCCGTATACGGTATACAGCAAGTGGTATGACCCACCTCGAATTCCTGAAAATACTAGTCTATAACCTACACAAATGAAAGGATACTCCACAGATGCTCCATCGAACAAAATTCTATATCTTTGTACCACGACTCACCAGGAACTGAATCTGAGTACCACAACACATACAAAGCGCAGATTTGGCAGTGGGCCAAAGCAGGGGGGCCTAATTTTTGCGCACCGAACAGGGGGCCTGATCCCTCTAGAAAAACGTTCGAGATGTCAACCTAAACCATGGTCTGTAGGGGGTGAGGTACCATGACAACAATGGTTTGTAGGATGAGGTGCCATGACCCACAGCCATTTCGAACATAACGCTGGTGAGGCACTCAAAGGGATGTGTCCGCACGACCCGCACGATCTCAGCCGCAATCTTTGCACCGCCCAAACTGCTGGGTTCGATGGGATTGGCAAAGTCCTCCACCTGCAGGGAGGACATGGTTTGCATCGTCTATTGAATCAACTATTGCAAGGGTGCAGGATCAACGAGTCTTTCCGTTTGCAAAGTGAAGCCTCCGAAAATCCCCAAAAAAAGAGTGGGCATCTATTCCAACACACTTAAATGATCTTATATGCATGGTCTGTGAAGAACCCACAGACTGTCAGGGATGTGGCTCTGGTTGGACCTTCCCGAGCAAAGCACCCATGGACTTGCAAGCAACATAAAGCAACCAAACATAGAGGTCAATGTGACTCAACATGGTTGCATTTGTATGATATATGTTGATGTTGATATATATATATATTGGTTTGCCATAGCCATGGAAGGGTGTGACCAGCATGTGTTGAAATTGTCCTCTTGCCCCATAAGCAAAGCCACACGCATCTGTGGGTCAAACTTGCTTCAGACTTGGTGTAAGGGTTGTTTGTTCCAGCACACAGTAAGGGTCCCTGCCGGTCCCTGCATGGCACCTGTTCAAACATCAGAGAAAAAAGATGAAAAACGCATAAGCAACAGCAAACACCACCCTGGTGGCGCGGTGTTCCTTTGTAAGACAAAACACAACCAACCAACCAACCAACCGACCAACCAACCAACCAGCCAGCCAGCCCACCAGCGACGTTGATGACAGTGCATCCATCCAACCAGCCTTGGTCATGACTCGCCGCAGGTCAATGACCGGTGCTCTCAAGCGCGTGGCCACACGTAGCACGGCGTCGCTCAAAACGCTCAACGCCAGGTTCGCCACGGGCTGAGACACGGTGGTGACGTTAAAAGGCGCGAAGCAGGGGTTGTAGCCTCAGAAGGGGCGGAGCTGGAGGAGCAGTTCTTTGGAAATGGATGGTCCTTGAAAGAGATCCTTTTGGATGGTTCATGATGATTCGCAGGTCTTTTGGCTTGTGAAGAGTGCTTTAGTGTGTGTATGTGACCTGTATGTGTGCAATGGATCTCCCAACCTACTACTTCCACACACCCAAAGACATACACGTCGCACGTCTGTCTCGCCACGTGACAGGAACAGATCACCAAACGCCGCGATGGGCCAATGCTGCGAGCCAGTTCCGTCATTTCAATGTCAAATTCGGCTTCAAAGGCTTGTGCAAAGGTGTACAATCGACACAACGCCTGAGGCGCGCTTTCTGGGTGCGAAGAGCTGTATGGAGGTTGGTGGGTCGGGATCATGCAATCGGTCAATCCCCTGAGTCATGCTCATCCTTTTCGACTTCGCACTTTTCAAAATGTCTTCCAAACAAAACTTGAATCATCTATGAGAAAGGGTTCCACTGCCCACCTCTAAGAAAATGGTGGACCTCCCAGGTGACCGTGGAACTATTTAGTCCTCATGTGTTGCATTCAACTTGCACCACAAAAAAAAAACGGTTATCATCGTCCCCTCCAAACTGCCGCACACATCCCACGCTCACATCCGCAAACCCAAAAGAAATAACACGATCTCCCAACACCTACGGGTCGAGACTGGGAGACCCCGGTTGACCAATCCATGGAAGAAACGACTTAAGACTAGTTAACGGTCAACCTGCCAGCGTGAGTTCCGGGCGTTTTGGGTGAAACTCAGCACTCCAATCCCAACACCGAACACCCATCTCATCTCATCTCATCTCACAATCTCTCTCCATCCCAGCCGACATCCCATCTTCACACCGCACCTCTTCCACGCTACTGGGCACGTCGCCTCCCAGCACCGTGGTGGTGGCCGCCGTGGCGTTGTTGCCCCCCACCGAGACCACCACGTCGGTGCAACTCTCCGGCAGCTCCAGGGACTGGCGACGCACCGCGGCGATCCTGGGAAGAGACGGTGTGGGGTGGGTCACCGAGCAACATGCATCTAGGCAAATGAAGTGAAACATATCATTGACACCACATCAAAGACTTTCTGGAAATGTTTGGAACATAGAATGGCAAAAGCATGGAAAATCATTTAGGACTCAAGGTATCTCAAGGATATTCTTGGCTTTATATAGGCTCAATATTTGTCACCAGCCCTCAATGTTGACAGTCCTGCAAACCTATTTAGTTCAGAAATCAGTCAGATTACACACTGCCATGCAATCCAAAACCAAATTTTTCGCATTTTGGATCCCCACCAGTTCCATGCTTTCCATCCCCATCTCATTTAAAAAAACACACAGTGAAACGAACGGAAAGGCAAAGCGGCTCGCGACCTCCGACCGGACATCGTCGAGGCACAGGGCCCCATCACGGGCACACATGGTGACATTGGGTTCAAGCTCCCGGACCTCCAGAAGCGAAGATGGGATTCTGCAAAATAGCAAAAAACCGTGACGTCACTACTACATTTTACTGAGTGACGGTGTCGGTTTTTGTGGAATAAGAGTCTAAGAAGAGACATGTTTTTTCGTGTTATGTAACTTAAAATTTGTGTACATGATCTGCTCAAATGTTCCATAATAAAACCATAAGACATCACAGGGTTTTAAAACCCCCAACGCTTTGATAGTTCCAGTTCCAGGTCTTCCGAGCTTGAGGGTCTTCGTAGGCCACTAGCCGGAAGGGTCATCGACCTAAAGTTTGAGGCTGAGAACCAATCAAGATGGAACTTGCTGGGAGAAATCAACGTGAGATTGAGATGATATCCGCTACAATGTTGGGACGGGGCCTTCACTGCCACTCCTAATGGGAATCACTTGGACTTACTCTCTCTCTCTCTCTAGATACAACAATTTTAAGTATATACTTATATACCACATATATACTGCATAGTAAAAAATAGCATAAAAACCACATATATATAATACCTAACACCTATTTTGGGTGGTTGGTGGTCTAAAACAGGTCCCTCCGGGTATGTATATATAATTACAGTGGCTATACATATATATATGGGGGTTGTTCAAAAGTCCTTTCATTTTTTTCCAAGCCTTTCGCAGGACCTTCGCGAAGCTTTCGCAAGCTTTCGCGCGTGGGGTTTTACCACTGTCGGCGAAAATGGTTTTTCGTTGGGGCTAGAGGCTTTCAAGGATTCATGCAGTTGCCCTGGCACGTCTTGTGTCCTCTGATCACTGACACATTGATTGCTGAGGAACAGGAAGCCAGCCAACCAAGCAGTTTTCATGTTGGTGTGTTTTTGGTTGGGCGCAACCCTCCATGAACAAGAGACGGCTCAGTCAGGCCAGTTTTCTCAGACTTCCAATTTGCTTTTTCCCGGGCCGGGAAAAAGCAAAATGATCTAGACTTTCAATTTGCTTTTTCCCGGGCTGGGAAAAAGCAAAGTGGTCTAGACTTCCAATTTGCTTTTTCCCGGGCCGGGAAAAAGCAAAACGGCCAGACTTCCAATTTGCTTTTTCCCGGCCCGGGAAAAAGCAAAACGGTTCAGACTTCCAATTTGCTTTTTTCCAAGCCGGGAAAAAGCAAAGTGGTTCAGACTTCCAATTTGCTTTTTCCCGGCCCGGGAAAAAGCAAAATGTATCAGACTTGCAGTTTGGAATCCGGCCTGGAAACAAGCAGCACCTGTGGGACTGGAGCCCACGACCTTCTGCTTATGAGCGTGACGCCTTATCCTTTAGGCCACAGCTCTCTGAAAAACATGCTTACAGGCTGTACAAAAGAAAATTGGATGTCCAATTTGCTTTTCCGGCTCAAACTTCCAATTTGCTTTTTCCCGGGAGTTACGACCGTGTTGTATGCGCACTTACAGCCGTAGAGCCATGCTATGACTGCATCTGCAGCTGGAGTGTCCAGCGCGTGCTTCCAGCAAGAAGAGTGGGGTGGGGTGGGGGTTGGCCCTGTCGTCTTTCGCGTCCACAATGCGAACCTTTCGCCATACTTGCGCAGTTTCCCACGACAAAGAATTTTCCAAGGGTCGGGAAAAAGCAATTGGAAATGGAAATGTATTAGACTTCCAATTTGCTTTTTCCCGGGCCGGCAAAAAGCAAAATGGTTCAGACTTCCAATTTGCTTTTTCCCGGCCCGGGAAAAAGCAAAATGTATCCTGAGGGAATTGAGCCCGCAACCTTCTGCTTATGAGCCTGGCGCCTTATCCATTAGGCCACAACTCCTTGATTTTATTTTGTAACCCTGATATAAACTGATTTTCCCAATTTGACTCAGACTTTGAATTTGCTTTTTCCCGGCCTACACTTTCAATTTGCATTTTTCCGGGCTGGGAAAAAGCAAAATGATCAAGACTTCCGGCTTTGGTTGCGCCCAACCCTCCATGAACAAAGAGACGGCTCAGCCAGGCCAGTTTGCTCAGACTTCCAATTTGCTTTTTCCCGGGCCGGGAAAAAGCAAAGTGGTCTAGAGTCTAGACTTTCAATTTGCTTTTGCCCGGGCTGGGAAAAAGCAAAATGGTCAAGACTTCCAACCAAGCCACTTTCATGCTGGTGTGTTTTTGGTTGGGCGCAACCCTCCATGAACAAGAGACGGCTCAGTCAGGCCAGTTTTCTCAGACTTCCAATTTGCTTTTTCCCGGGCCGGGAAAAAGCAAAATGATCTAGACTTTCAATTTGCTTTTTCCCGGGCTGGGAAAAAGCAAAGTGGTCTAGACTTCCAATTTGCTTTTTCCCGGCCCGGGAAAAAGCAAAATTGTTTCAGATTTCCAATTTGCTTTTTCCCAACCCGGGAAAAAGCAATCGGAAGTCTGAGGAGCAATTGTTCTGCAGCGTGGCCAGGTCACCAACATGACTTGCGCAGACCTTTCGCAGGACCTTCGCGAACCTTTCGCGACTGCAGTGAGAGCACACTCGAAATCAGCCTTTGAAATTCGATCACTAACAAGGAAGAGGTGGGTTTTTGAACGATGCTCATATGTGGGGGGGACCTTTACGTATAATATAACGACCTCTCACTCCTCAGCTTCGTCCCAACTGCTGTACTCTACTCTATTCTAAAAACGATTGTGCCAAAGATGCAATGAGACTTGGATAATATACCTTACCAAATAAACGTAGAGCCTGGTGGGATACAAACAAGAGAAGTGGTATAGGGTAGGGCAAAAGATACACAGGTTGATCAACTACATATATATATGATATATGTAATATATAATTTGTAGTCCTGGTCTCGGGTGGACAAAGTAGTTAGGGTAAATGGGCAGAGTATATAAGAGTGAAAAAGTACGCGCATTTCCAGGACATCCTGCAGAGCGTTAGAGTGCATCATTTGCTTGCAACACCTTTAGGTACATAAATACGAAAAGGAGCTTATGAAAGGGTTTACATATTGGTTACTGTATATTACGGGGTGCTTTCTTATTGTTTATCGGATAACTAGCCCACTCCTCTCCATTCAGCTTCGTCCCAGTCCCAGCTGCTGTACTTTACTTTTTTCTATTCAAAAAAACGATTAAGCGAAGAAGACTCGGATAATACACTATGCCAAATAAATGTAGAGCAAGGTTGGTGACAAACAGGAGAAGTGACATAGGGTAGGGTAAAAGATAAAGCAGAAGCGAACACAGGTTGATAAACTACATGTATATAACAAAATATATAATACAATATAATATAATAAACTATAATATAATACAATATAATATAATGTAAAATTACTGTAGTAGTACTGGTCTGTGGTTGACAAAGTACAAGGTAGGTCTGGTCGGCTGTGTAAAGATCTGATCTTGGCTCTGACCACTATTGGAAACCATTGTAAAGATGCAACTCGAGTTTAAATGAGTGTGTCAAAGACTATGGCAGGATAAAATAGACTAGGCTAGTTATCCAGGTAGTTAGCGCAGAGTAAAGTAGCATACATACAGACAGAATACACCCATGAGATTGTTGTGACCAAAATTGAACAATATCATGGGTGTGCGATCCTTGTTGAGTCCTCCATTGCATTACAAGCATAAAAGTTAGGTTGTAGGCTTACTTTTCGTCTGTCACTCCCTCCCTCTCCTGTCTTAGGTTGAAACCTTCTGCGCACTTGCACGTTCACATCTTTTCATGTTCTGTATCATTCAATTTCGGTCTGAAGAATAGGCAACGTATATAAGAGTGAAAAAGTATGTGCATGTCCAGGGCATCCTGCATCATTTGCTTGCTGCTTGCAAAGCCTTTAGGTGCATAAATATGAAAAGGAGCTTTTGAAAGAGTTTACATATTATTTGTATTAGGGGGTGCTTTCTCACTGTTTATGGGATAACTAGCCCACTCCTCGCCATTCAGCTTCGTCCCAACTTCTGTACTCTACAGGGTAGGGTAATGTACATCAATGCAAGATGAAGCAGAAGCGAACACAGGTTGACAAACTACATATCATACATAGTAGTCCAGTCTATGGTGAGGGGTTTATAAAAAAGGTTTTTGTGGAAGGGTGTGCACAAATACGATTGGCCTTGGCAGGGTGAGGGGTCTATAACATGATGGGTTTTGTGGGAGGGTGTGCGCAAATACGATGGGGGTGAGGGGTTTATAAAATGAGTTTTTGTGGTAGGGTGTGCACAAATACCAGGGACTTTTGACAAGGTGAGAGGTTTATAACATGGGTTGTTGTGGAGGGCGTGCGCAAATACGAGGGCCTTGGCAGGGTCAGGGGTTTATAAAATGGGTCTTGTCGGAAGGTGTGCGCAAATACGATGGACTTCTAGAGGGTAAGGGGTTTATACAATGGGTTTGTCCAACCTTTGTGTTTGCGTGCTTAAATTTGGTCATGGCATGGTCTGTTAATAATGGCCTATAGCAAATTGCCAGTATCCTATGAGTAGATCTACCAAATCATGGGGGATGTACGATAGGCATAGTGTAATTCACAACCAGCCCTATAAAGCAATAAAAAAGGGAGAAATAACAAAAGTTTAGCCAACTCATAGTGATTGGGTTCTGAAAAAGATTGCTTAAACGGTGGTTATATTATGTTATTCCTTTTGACCCTTTTCTCCCTCCACAATGAAGACACATGATACTTAGTATCGTTTTCTCCCTTTTCTCCATCCACATTGATAATAAATCATTATAGTTCCTGGGATTTGGACTTTGGCAGCCCACCAACACAAAAACAAATCACACATTGTGACATTGAACATATAGTGATTTTGTAAAGTAGATTTACAAAAGCCATGGAGCAATGGAATGTAACATGTAACATATGCCACAATTGTAAAAGGTGTGCATTGTTCACTGCAGGCATGTGTTGTTTGTTTGAGTGAATGTTTGTTTTGCTGAATGTTTGTGTGTACTGTTTTCCTTTCTTTTTTCGGAAATGTTTGCGTTTTATGAAAAGAGGACTGGAAACGTAATTTTGTATATCACCAAGATCACCATTTTATAAGGAGTTCCTC